TTTTCTACCTTTATGCTATGTATAAAAAAACTGTAGTGTGTTGCATTTATGAAATCAATGAACTGCTACAGAGAAAACAAATTTTTATTTCTGCATGCAAAAACATTTTGAACTCCGAAAAAAAAAAAAAAAGACGCTGGGTTGAAGGTCACTTTCAAATAAAATACTCAATGTCTATTTGAGTCCTCCTCATATTTATAAAATAAAAAGCTGAACTTAAATTATCCATCTGCAGCAAACCAAAAATGCCTTCTGCTTCTGTGTGCCCTCATCCTTTTATCATGTGTACTGGAGGGTGCAGTCAGCTGTCAACCTGAATAAAAAAAGGACTAATTGATACTTTCATACAGTAAATAGAGTTTCTGCAATACAACAAAAATAAATAATAGTCTGGTGAAATATTGAACAAACATCCCTCTCCCAGTGTGATAATGTTGCTGGAATTTTTATAAGAATCTTCTTAAAACAAGGAAGTAGATCTATATCTTCATTATGATTTAGCTGCAGCTCTTGTTCAGTCACTAAAAACTGTTATTTTTAATCTTACATTATAAACTAGTAGGGCTCCTTTCATATATTTTGAATAGGAGAACAGCTTCCTGAAGAGTCAAAGTCAGTGCTAAAGGGCTGCATGCATTAAACAGCAAACCCCATAAGTTCATCAGCAGTAAAAGCAACTGAATCTACTCACGTATCATGAAACGTTTGGTTTTCTTCAGAAACTTTTCTTCGATTTATCCATGGTTGGTCTACTGGGGGTGGGGGGGAGCTCAGTAAATCAGTGCCGGGGGCGGGGGGCGGAGATATAGGTCTGTGTCTGAGATATAGGTGTGTTTAGTGACGGATTAGCAGATAAACAGTCAAGCGATGTGAATTGTGACAGGTCCTAAGCACAGCTTTAACATTCAGATGAAGGAGATTACATTTGGACAAAGAGAATCTTTTCAGCACTTTTCAGTGTAACATGAGAGCCCGCAGGACGCTTGTTCCACTCTTTCCCTGCACAATAGCAGAGGAATGTAGAGATTTACTTAACCAGCTAGCACAGCGTTCCTGTTCCTGAGCGGAGTCTCGGTTGCAGATCGGCAGCTGTGCCGGCGTGTGTTTTGAGTGACGGAGCCGCAGCAGAGGGATTGAAGAGCCGCATGTGGCTCCAGAGCCGCGGGTTGCCGACCCCAGACTAGTCCAATCCACCACCTGTTGACTTGACTCTTGCCCTTCATGCCTACTCACCAAAGCCAAGGATGGGATGTGTACCTGGGTCCAGGAGGTGGTTAATGCTTCTCTGAGAGAGGGTCAGGTCCCCGTCCCCTTGAAGGAGGCGGTGATCAGGCCCATCCTGAAGAGGGTGAACCTGGACCCAGCAATGGCCACCAGCTATAGATTAGTGGCTAGCATCCCATTCTTGGGCAAGGTGCTTGAGTGGGTGGTAGCCAGCCAACTCCAGGCTCCCTTGGAGAAAACTTGACCATCTGAACCCATTCCAGTCTGGTTTCAGGCCTGGCTATGGGACTGAAATTGCCTTGGTCACCCTGTATGATGACCCGTGCAGGGAAAGGGACAGGGGGAGTGTGTCCATGTTGGTTCTCCTGGACCTCTCAGCAGCTTTCGATACCATCAACCATGGTATCTTTCTGGATGGGCTGGCCAAGTTGGGGGCTGCTTTGTGGTGGTTCCACTCTTACTTGGCCATTCGATTCCAGAAGGTGATGCTGGGGCATTGTGGCTCTGGGCCATGGCAGCTTTGCCATGGAATTCTAGTCCAGGTGAGGAAGTGGTTGTGCTTAACCAGTGTCTGGCCAGGGTGATGGGCTGGCTAAAGGCCAACAAACTGAGGCTTAATCCAGACAAGACAGAGGTCATGTTGGTATGAGGTTAAGCCTTCTGGGTAAGTAATTTTAGCCCTGTTCTGGATGGAGTTGCACTCCCCCCAAATGACAGGGTGCACAGTTTGGGAGTATTCTTCAATACAGAGCTGTCCCTGGAGTCTCAGTTGGCAGCTGAGGTGAGGAGCGCGTTCCTTCAGCTTCGGCTGACCTATCAACTGCGCCCTTACCTGGATGAGCAGAGCCTAGCAACAGTGACCCATGCACTGGTAACTTCCCAATCGGACTATTCTAATACCTTCTATGTGGGGCTGCTCTTGAAGATGGTCCAGATACTTCAGTTGGTTCAGAATAGAGCTGCCAGGATGTTAACAGGGACTGACAGGTATGCACATATAATGCTGGTCCTCTACCATCTATACCGGCTACCAATTGATGTCTGGGTCCAATTTAAGGTGCTGGTGCTGACTATAAAGCCCCAAATGGCTTAGGACCTGCATACCTGAAGAAGGGTCTCCTTCTCAGTGTGCCTACCCACCCCTTAAGATTTGGGTGGAGGTCCTTCTTCGGGATCCCTCCTTAAAACTGATTAGGAGGGTGGCTACCCGGAGAAGGGCCTTCTCTGCAGTGGTACCACAGTTATGGAATACACATCCCAGAGAGGTTCACCTGGTGCTGACACTTTATTCCTTTTGGCACCAGGCTAAAACCTTTCTATTTTCCCATTATGTTAAGATTTGAATCTGATTTTAATGTGGGGTATAATGTGGGGTATAGAAAATCAATGTGGATGCTGTGCTCCACTTTGTTTTATTGAAAGACCTTCCCAAGGCCTTGGTAGTGGATGGTATATAAAAGTTTAAAAATAAATATGAATTGGGATCATAACGGGGGGAAAGGGAAAGGCCTTTGTAATCCCTTCCCTCAGGCTGAGGCTCTGATCGAGCTCAGACCCTGCACCTACTCCGAGAACGCAATGAGGCAGGGAGTTGTGTTGAGGCTTAGGTGGCTGCAGTCACACAGACAACTGGGCATTCGGGCATTTCAGCAGCAGTGTCAAGAGCGCATTTGATCAAATGAACCCTTGTTAAGTAGTACCAAGGTGGGCAGTAGGCAGCCCCTTAGGCAATGGCACATGGAGAAATTTGAGAAACTGTCCTGAGCACAGCTATGAAATAGCTGTCAGAAAGGACAAGTAACCAGCTCAGAAAAAATCAGGGCAAATTCCGATGGCATCACTATGACGCAATCCCTTAAGTCTATTTTTCAAATCAACTTAGGGAGGAGTAGAGTGTCTTGATGGACACAAAGGATTTTGTCTCGGGGCACCTTATTGCCTGTGGGGGCCATGGCCCCTACCTTGTCCTAGATATTCAGGGCTTTTGAACAACAGCTTGTAGGTTCAAATGGTCTGGGTGATTTTGAGAGTTTGTTCAGCAACTGCTGTTACCAATGGCATGTGAGTATATTAACCTTTTGCTATTGAATGCTCGTCAGTATGCTCTTTTTGCCACAAATATGTATCACACTGTTCTTGCTGTAGGTCATCAGCTGCTATTAGCACACTTTTCAGCGATTACCCAAATTCTTTCCAGACTATCCAAGGCCTGTGTTTTGAAATACCCTGGGGATATGACTATTGGCATTTTTAATTAGCGACATCTTCCAAAGGGTGTAGCAAATGTTCTCAAATAGCTAGATTTTTCATCCAGTTCAAAATGATGGAATCCATTTTTGTCATCACAGAGAATAGTGAGACTTTGCTTTTGACAGGTAAATGGGAAATGACCTCTCAGTGCTTTGTGTATGTATTTATTTAAGTATACCCTGAGTTTCACCCGATGGCTTTCAATAAGCAATGCTCATTCACTCAGTCTTTACTTTTCTCTATGGGTTGAATAATTCCCCACCACTGATGACATTGCAGCAATTCTTTCAGAGGTTGTATTAAAACTACTGCCACTTTCCTTTAGGGTAATTTGTTTCAGACTTGTACTATCTGTGTTTGTAAACTCCATCGACATATCTAGCTCCTTGAAACATTTTCCTGAATTCCCTTTGAATCCTTTCTTGATTATTAGCTTCCAGTTTTATCTGAATTTTCCATCAATCCACAATTCACTGTCATTATGTTCTGAAACTGTACCTTTATTAGTTTGCTAGCCTGGACTGCTTTAAATCCCAAGAAGAGGTAATCCCTAACTTTCTTATAATCTACAACTACAAACTCTAGCCTACATTCCTTGTCTTTGGCCTAAATATGTTGAGTTAGCACTTTCTGGTTGATTTTGATGTAATGTGATTATAGGTTCTTAAAAGATTAGTTTCTTCCAAGAGAATGTTGGGTTTCACTAGAGCAAGGGCAAAAATGTTGCAACTGGCACCATAGTTGAACTCAAATCATAATGCTTGAGTCCCTCCATATATATAGTTGCACACTCTTGTCTATGCCATCCTGCTGTCTTTTCCTGTAGTATGTTTACTATTGGATCAGCTACCCATGTCTTCACATTCACCACCACCTCTCCATATTTAGTGAGCATCCAGCTTTGGGCTTTTCCGATTTTGATAGACACTTGAACGCTTGTCAAGCTTGTCACAGTTGTGACATTTCTTTCCATATGCTGGGCGACACTCTTGTACACCTCCCTACAATACGTACACTGCTCCGTGGTGTTTACTGCGTGGGGTTCCCTGTTGTCCTTGTGCCATTTCCTGGCTTGTCCCAGCAAGCGCGGTGCACCTAGGGCCAGTCCTTTTATACCGCTACCCCCTTGTGCCCTCCGGATGGTTTGGACTGTACCTACCCGAAAGCCATTTGGAGGCCACTGCGCGCTCCGCACTCGGCAGCGCACCCCGCGCCGAAGTCACACTAGGCGCGAAACGAGCTGAACTTTGTCCCGTACTAGGCGGTTACGACAAGGCGGAGCCAGCAAGTTGCGGGCCACTGAGAGCGCGCTCGCGGTTGGCCTAGCGGCGCTGCGCTCCGCCCCTTTCGCCGTCTAGTTCGAAGAGGAATGGGCAGGTTTCATTGAAAGAGAAACCAGGCGGGAGGGCGAGCCGGCGGGGGCGGTGCCAGCCCAAAGTAAACAGGAGGAACACCCGTGCGGGCGCCGGAGGGCGGGGCTGGCGCTTGTGGCGCTGGCTCCGCCTCCAGCGCTCCCGTTGCCTGCGGGGGCCTGGCGGCAGCGTGGAGCGAGAGCCGCGAGTAAGCCATATGGGGCGGGATGCGGGCCGGTTGGGCAATCCGAGCGGCTCCCCAGGGATGAGTCAGAGCAGGCTGGGGTCCGCCTGACGGGACGCGAGTTGGCCATGCTCGCCGGGCGGCGAAGGCGACTGCTCGAGCTTCCCCGCGAGGCAGCAACTGCAGCTTGTCGCCGCCGCCGCACCGGACTCGCCGCCGCCTCCTCCTCCTCCGCGCCCCCTCGGCTCGCAGTTTTCGCGGCGCTCTTCGACAGGCGCCGGGCGCCAGCAGCTCCGTCTTCGCTCCCGTCTCCTCCCGCTCCATGGATCGCAGGGGAGCCCGCGACGGCAGCCCGGAGCTGGGCCGGGCCAAGCGGCTGAGCGTGGGGGAGCTGCGCTCGCTCTTCGAGGCTCGCTGTGCGACGACGAGCGGGCAGCTGCCCGAGCCGGCCAAGAAGAGCTGCCGGCCGCGCAACGGGGTGCTGCAGCCGGTCATCCCGCAGCTGACCGTCACTGCGGAGGAGGACGGCCAGGAGGCGCAGCGCAGCCCCGTCGGACTCCCCCGCGCAGAGCCGGACGGCGCTTGGCTGACGACGGAGAGCTCGCTGCACTTGCTGCAGTCCTCGCGGCGCCTCTCCACGTCGTCGCTCTCCTCCACCGGCTCGTCGTCGCCCTTCGAGGACTCCGAGGATGACCTGCTGAGCGACACGGAAGGCAGGAGCCAGGGCATCGTGCATCTGGAGCACGGCGAGGAGACGCACCAGGTACGGCTCGCCACGGCCGCACCGAGCGGCGGCCTCGGGCTGCGTCTCGGCCACATGCCGCCTGCAGAGGCTTGCGCTCTGCGCTGCCGGCCGGAGCGGCCCTTCTCCGAAAAAGTGCGGCGAGTTTGGCAGAACTAATAAACCGGCGGCTGCCTTCTGTCGGCTGAGACGAGGGTCCTTCACGCGCTGCGGGATTGCGCCGCTTACACCGCCGCCTGACGCATGCCTACGTGGAAGTAAGCCTACTTATATCTGTGTTCGGTAAGGCTTACTTCCAGGTAAGTGTGCCTGTATTATGTGTTCATTGAGCATGTATAGCAGCCTTGTTTATCTATGGCAGCCTTACTGCAAAGTCGATGTTTTGGGTAGTTAAAGAAAAGCATCTCACAGGTGCAAAATATTGTGAACACTGTGTAGAAGGTTGTTCATTTTTCTCCACGTTGACTTGCCGTGACAGCAGCTTTTCAGTGCTTACGGGGAGAGCTGTATCTTCATTTTCACATGTGCCACATTATGCATACAGTGTATGCATACTTAAGGGAAGTGTTGTGTAAGTGTAAAGTGCAGGGATTAGTAGGAATACCCGCGAGGCAGCAAAGGGGTGCTGAGGCTAATGAGGCTGGATAGAAAGCTAATAAACAAACAAATAAATATCTTCTGGATAGGAATAATTTGTGATGGACACAAAAGTCAGTCTGATTATTTACATTTCTCTGAAGAAGTTTATGTAAGCAAAAAACTGTTGGCCAGCGTGTGTTAAGTCCTACTGTTAGATGTAGCATAATGTGCAGTGTATGATATTCATGTATGTTTACATCTTCAGTGTCCTAGATTTCTGCAATCCTTCTCTCCTCACCCCATCTTCCCCCACATACGGATGGAGTCATGTGTGTAAGCTAAGATTTAAATAGTTGCTCTCCAGCTTGAGGAAGACCTTTGTGAGGCATAGATTTTGCATTGTGTTGTTTCACAGACAGAAATTACCTCTTCTGTTCTTTTATTTTGTATCCAGTTCCCAGGAGGGAGAATACTAAAGCAACCTATATCATTTGAGAGGTACACATAAGCTACCTTCTGACTCTGATGATGACCAGATAATAATTTGAGGATTTATTAACTTGGGGAGCATTAAAAAGGGTAGAGGACACGGGGCAACTGTGATTATCTCGCCTGTTGTCCTACCTTGCAGGAGTGGTAGAATCTAGGACTGGTTGTGACATTTGTGAGTGGATAGCATGGTGAACCTCTCACATGTGGTTTCTTTTATTGACTCAAACTTGTTCAAGCAGCAGCTCTTCAACGTTCTTCTGCACACCAAATGTTTTTGTGCAAACATTGACAAGTAATCATGCCACCATGAAATGTTCAAGACTCATTATATGAATTATAACCTATTGTTCCACTGTTTAAAAATGCTTTTTAAAGGAAGCACTTAATAAACATTTTTGTCCAACTTTGTAGGGCAAGGATATGTTTAGATAAGAAATTATTATTATTATTATTATTATTATTATTATTATTATTATTATTATTACATTTCTATGCCGCCCCTTACCGAGCACTTTTTCTTCAGCTGACATTGTTAAATCCATCTTCTTTACTGGGCATCTGTGAAGGGCTGCTTTAAAATTTTAGGGGCAAATTGGTAAACAACTGCAACGTTGTATTCTGAAAATCAGGGTCCCTAGATCAGAGCCTTGTTACTATATTGGATAATCCAGCTCTGATTTGAAGAAATGGACTCAACCCAACCTCTCATTGGGAAAAATAAGTCAAGTACAGGGCAAAGCACAGATTCCCAAGTACTGTTGCCAGTCTTTCAGTGGACTGCTTGAACAGAGCTCACTCATTTGAGAGCTTCTATAAAAGATGGAAGGGTGCAGTCCCATAGCCATCTAAACACTGTCTAGATGGCCATAGGATAGGTCAGAGCCTCTGCTCCAGCTTCAGAAATGCATTCCAGCCATTGAGCACCCTCCCTCTGCCATTGCGGGTGGCTTTAGAGGTGCAAGTGTGACTTCAGAACTGGCGTGTGTATGGGGGGGGGAGCTTTTGGGGGGCAGAGAAGCCAGAAATAGCCCAGCTGTGGTGAAATTGGCTGCTTATGTGTTTTGAAGGGCATGAGAAGTACAGAGGCAATCCTTGGCTCTGTGCTGCTCCTGCCCTTCATTGGATGCCTATAATCCTCTGAATAGCTTAATGCCAACCCATCAGGTTCAGCATGTCTTACAAACTAGGTGTCTAAAAGAATCACAACATGTCAGAGATAAGGGAAGAGGGGAAACAACAAAACAATTAGCTTAATGATTCTTGAGCATTTCACGTTAGCATGATTACTTGGCAGTGCTTGCAAGAAAACACGGGGACTGCAGTAGATGGTCCATTGGGTCTTGTGATGCTTAAACAGGAGTGGGTGTATGCTACAGTTGTGCAATTGCTCCTTTTGAAGTGTAGAGTCTGTACTGAGCATAAAGCCAACATCTTATGAGGGTCCGCTTTCAGTTTTTAAAAAGGCCCAGTTCTAAGTCTCATGACTTTTAAGATGAGGAAAATATGTATACATATGTATTATAACCCTGTTACTTTTTTAGCAGAATTGCTCATCTGCTGATCATAATTCAATACGTTTGTTTGTGTTGTTGCCTGAAAAGCAAATTAACCTAGTAATAGTGCAGAGGGGAAGCTTTACAGAGAGGCTTGAAGTTGCATGCGATATACTGATGAAATCTCTGCAACTAGAGAGGTTAGAGACAAGGAATAATCATTCCAGTGATCATGGAGGTTGTATCTTTTGCTTGTCTTTGTCTCTTCCCACAAGTAGCAGAAATACAATGAAATACGTAAAACAGGCCATTGAATCAGTTTGTTTAATGTTTGTTCTCAGTATAACCAGTTGCCAACACACATGCTAAGGATGAAGATAAACCAGGAATCAGCCATAGGAATGAGTGGCAGCAATTCCAGTAATCACAAACACAGTTTCCTCAAATGCCTTGATGCAGGGTTTTGTTGCCAGTCTTATCCATGACTGACCTGTTTACATGTTTTATTTTCATGCTTAGAACAACATCATGAACTTTTATTAGTTTCTCCCATGCATGGGGCTTGCCTTTCTTGATCCACACATGGATTATTCCTGGTATTTCCTTTTTTCCCTCCTTTCTGCTCTCACAATACCAGTGGCAGAGAGAATGGTAGTGAAGGTTTCCTCTGCTATGACAAGGAAGCTTTCAGTAGTGATCTCCTCCAGCTAAGTGTGCACCTGTCTGAGACCCCTGGCTATGGTCAAACTTAACTTATTAGTGAAATCTCCAATAAAAGAATATGGCTTTGTTAGCTTTATCTTAACATTTTGCACTAACTTGACTCTTCATTACAAAAGTAGTGTGAAGTTCATGGTTTTCAGTGGTCTTACGTGTGCCCTACTTTGTATATGACTGGATTGTTAGCTGATATCTGTCTACCTCCTTTATAGTATAGACACATACCAAAATTAACTAGCAGGCCCAGCTGAGCTTAATTTGTCATTGTGTGTATTCTTGTATTAGAAGCTGCACAAGCTACAGTGTAGATGTGGCTTGAAAAACTGTTTGTTGCACAGGTGTATGAATAGGTTCATCTAACACCTTTTAATGGTTTGAGTTAACTGGAAAATACTGGAAGCTTTTCCTTGTATGTAAGCTTTATCATCTAAGTACAGTTTTTCTGTTAGTGGGAACAGGGAGTCCTGTAGTACCATAAAGACTAACACCTTTATTATGGTCTGTGCTTTCACGGACTACTGCTAGTTGTTCTTTGTCGCAAATCATTACTTGTTTAGAAATAGTTGGGGGGATTTATGCGAATTTGCATTAGTGCCAATGAGCAAGTGGAACCAAATCCTCCCTAAAAACCTCATTGTATCAGTGGGCAGATGATGGAATGAGAGACACCTGATAATATGTGAAACAGATCAGAGTTAGCAAAATCTACAGATCCCTCATTCCTAGTTGTATGACATATTAGGATGCGTGTTCCGTGCATCATATCTACAAGACTGACATACATCAGAGTGCTTCATGTGACAGTCCTCTGTGTATCTGAAGTGTAGAGGCTGGTATTACTGTTGTTGTTATTGTTCCTAATAACAATGTTATTGTTCCTAAATATAATAATATTTAAGGGTTTGTAAATCTCTTAACACCCAAACAACAGCTGCTAGCAGATTTCTTAAAACTATGACGTTGTTTCTTTACTATCTATTTTGAATTGGTGGTATTCTTAACATTATGATTAATATTAGATTAAAATACATTTTTTCTAAGCATTAACCAGCAGGTATTCAGTCTCCACATAATTTCTGACTCAGGATATCAATTTTAAAACCACTTCTTGCTGTGAGTGTGACTGGTGATTGGGAGGTATTTGGAAAGATTAACATGCATGCTTTTGTCAATTTTTGCAATAATATGTTCTTGCCAGTAAATCTGTTCTGCAATTTGGCAGGTGCTCATATACATAAAGTCACTTTATAAAGAAAAAGCAAGCTGTTTCTCATACCGTTTACTGCCGCTTTTTAACTTGTTTCTTGTGATTATGTTCTGGAGGAGTTCAAACTGCAATCTGTTTTTCTTAGAAAATCCCTTGTGTCACCATGTTGAGTGTTCACAGAGTGGTTAATATATAGACAAGTCATTTGAGCAACTGGTACAGTGTCTTTTCCAAGGGAAACAACACATATTTGGAAACTGCTGGGATGGGAGAGGTGGTGTGTTCTTTTATCACTGGAGGTATTCAAGAAGAGACTGGACAGCCATCTGGCAGAGATGCTGAGATGCTTTAAATTGGATTCTTGTACTGAGCCCCATCTTACTTTATGCTGGAATTGAAATAAACTGAATGCAAGATACCACAGCTCAGAGTAATATATATATTGCTTTCAAAGAACAGTTGTGATTAGAATAGAATCGTTGTATGATCTTTGGTCTCTTTAGTTCATAAAATCACATTCTTACATTTTT